ATAGACCCCGGCCTCAAAGAAGGATGCAAAGAACAAGCTACTTCTGCAGCATTTGCAAAGGCTGGGGGAGTGCTAAGGGTTAGCAACAACTGTGCTGTGCACAGCTACAGCTAATGGACAGATACCTGCTGGACACGGGGAGGTGTGCGGTGTGGTACATGTGCCCAGCACTGGCCAACTGCGCTTCCCCCAAAGCCTGCCCCTGCGATCCCCCCGATACCTGTTCCAGCTGAGAAATGACCTCCCAGAGCAGCGAGTGCAAAGTGGACAGTTCCCGGCCCAGGTCAATGTAGCCTTCAAAGCCAGCTGTGTTTGAGATGGTTTCAGGATTGGAAATCTCCAGTAGAAATCTCTGCATGTTAGTCCATTCATGTTCCAGGAACTGATTCATAAAGGACATGTATTCCTCTTTGCTGCCAAACCTACCAAGACAGCAATATGAATTTCATCTAAATCCTGTAAACAGAAGTGCGGTCAACAGAATGGGTAGGTACGTAAGCAGGTAAGAGTGCCAGAGCCTTCCTCTGGCATCTGAACCCTTCAAAGCCTTTGGGAGCCCCAGGTTGCTCGCAGGCACCTGGTACACCTCACTGATCGAGGAACGAAAATTAACTCCAGCCTAATCCAGCTAGGTCCTCGTCAGCATGGGACCTCCACAGTAGAAATGAAGGTGAAAGCTGTAGAAACAAAGCTGTTCTTGGTAATGGAGTGTATCTTACTGCTGGGTCAGGGCACAGCCTCCAGAAATAGGACCTGTCACTGGAAATAAATCGTAATACCAAGCACCATCAACTGACTGAGCCCCAGTGAATGATGGCGGTAGGAATCCTGTACTCTCCCCGCTCTTTCAGGAAAAACGGCAATGCCTGCTGCTGCCCTGGCACAACTGCTCCGGGGATCACCCTGGAGAGCCATACCTGCGGCTGGGCCACCCTGTTTGTCCCCTCGGGCCTCCTGCAACCTCCTTCTGCCCTCCAAGCACTCCACCCAGACGTCGCTCTCGGCGGGATGTCTTACTTGGAGCACAACAGGGAGGCCCTCGTTCAAGTGTACCAGCAATGGCTGGTGCTGTGCCAGCGCCAGCGATTCCGTGGGGAGAGGCTTGGCTGTGTGCTGTCCGCAGGACAGCTCAGCTTCATCACTTTGGCTTGACTAATGTCAGCTTAGTTAAAGAGTCTTTCCTGCAAAGTCCTGAAAATCTGAAAACCCTTTAGTTAGGGATTGGTCAGGAATATAGAGAATTTCTGTCATCTGCTGTAACACACTTGCATGTCTTCTGTCTGCGTCTGCGTGCGTCTACGCGCATTCCTGACTGCAAGCGTGTGTACTAAGCTAGTTTCCAAATCTAAGAAGCTTTAGACAGAAACTGTCCATTCATGTTTCGGAAAGCTCATCATTTTGTTATCAGAGCTCAGGATAAGTAGCTCAGAGCTGCAGCCACTGGAAAGATTTTCAGAAATCTCTCGCTTTGTTTCCATCAAACC